AAACCACAGTTTAAATAGTACGAGTTAAAATTAACAACAATGAATATGCTTAAAATATTGGTAAAATAAATGAAGTGGAGAGAGAGAAAGAGAGAGAGAGAGAGAGAGAGAGAGAGAGAGAGAGAGAGAGAGAGAGAGAGAGAGAGAGAGAAAGATAAACCAAAATGAGAGAATAAAAAAGAGGAGCTATATTAGGGTAACTTTAAAGGGGACTAGATAACTGTCAATTGTGACTTTGGATCGTCATGAAAGCTGCTCCAGTAGCTATCCTTACACCCGTAAATATCCGGTTGTTGTTGTTTATCTACATCGATGACGTCATGATGACGTTTGGGTGTTGTGATGCATAATCCAGTCTGTCTCCAGAACTCCTTTATCAGACTGTCAACGCGTTCGTCCAGCTTCTTCTTTCGCTCTGAACTCTTTCCACCACCATCATCGTCGTCGTCTTCAACATCATTATCATCATCGCCGCCGTCGTTAAAATCATTATCATTATCATCATCGTTATAATTGTTGTTATTATTGATTGGGATGATTAAAAACCTAGCCATCCAAATACCATTGCTCCTATCATCAACATTATTATTATTATTATCATTATTATTATTATTATTTTCATTATAATCATCATCATCATCAGCAGCAGCAGCACCGCCATCATTATCAGCACCTCCAGCATTATCGTCGTCGTCGTCGTCTTCATCTTCTCGAACCATCACTCTCCATATACCGGCTTTCAGTGGTTTCGTGATGTTGCTCAAGTCATGTGTCGCCATGGTGACGAGTTTCGGTATTTTGACTGCGCTGACGTATGCTACTACGTCATCCGGATCGACCAATCGCACTTCGACTTTCGCCTAGAGTGAATGAATGAATGAGTGAGTGAGCGAGCGAGTTGAGTGAATGAATGAATGAGTGAGTGAGCGAGCGAGTTGAGTGAGTGAATGAGTGAGTGTGTGTGTGAGCAAATAAGTGAGTGAGTAAGTGAGTAAGTGAGTGAGTGAGTGGGTGGCTACAATGATGTCATGGTGATGGTTACGGCGATGAAGTGATGATGATGATGATAGTGGAGGTGGATGAATGACTTCGATGCAAAATATAGCCAGATGTCACTAACTTCCTCTTGCAGTTGAAGCGTATGGAAAGCCACCACTAAATTGCTGTCCGGTCCAAATAGGGAAAGGTAATTCCTGAACATCATCTCTTTCTGCTCGTAATTTGAACCCACCTGGATAGAGAGAGAGAGAGAAAAAAAAAGGAGAAAGGGAGAGAATGAATGATAAATGAATGAATGAATGAATGATGAATGAATGAATGAATGAATGAATGAATGAAAACGAGAAAAAAGAGAAAGAACGAATAAATACTTGACGAACCACAAAAAAAATAAATGAATAACTGAATGAAAAAAAAAAGGAGAAAAAGAAACGACGGAATGAATAAAAAAACAAATAAAAGAATTAACAAACAAACCCAAACCTGCACACCAATGACCTTGCGACCTTTCCTCTTCCCAATTTCAAATGGAACAAACTCGAATAAGGCCTCAATTTTATCAGCACCACCACCACCACCATCACCACCATCACCACCACCACCACCATCATCATTACCATCATTAGTACCTAGGGGGCCTTCCAATGTTTCACCCTGACCCCATAGGGACCACGTTACAACCACCCCTCTAATTTTTTCTTCATGTTTGAAGACGTAGGCATCTAATAATGTTAATGAAAATAACGACGATCGCGCCTTTGTGGTACTACTAGTTTTAGCGGCTGTAGTAGCTGCAGCAGCTACAGCAGTAGTGGTAGTTAGGCTGCCGTACGTTTGCCGTGTTAGTCGCGTAAGCGATGACAAAAATGTGAGTAGAACTACTCTGTCATGACTAGATGACGATGAAGAAGAAGATGATGATGGTGGTGGAGATGGTGGTCGAGATGGAGTGTCGTTATTATTATTATTATTTTTATCATTATCATCGTCATCATCATCGTCGTCGTCGTCATCAGGAAGATCGCCACGATCGTCATCTACGTTCCAGATGTTCAGCCAAAATGAATCCATGGACGGCAGACCTGTGATGACGTCATCGTCATCATCATTTATCAGCATCAGCATCATCAGCATCATTTATCATCACCCTACTACACAGACACGCACACGCACACACACGCACGTCTCTAAAATTAACAGTAATAAGAGTTATCATATTTGATTAGATGCTCATACTATGGTTTAAAAACAAGAATAACAACAATCAAAATTATCATCACCACCATCACATCCCCATCACCAACACCACCACCACCACAACCATCATCATCATCATCATCCTTACCGGCATTACTGATGAGTAAAAAGTTTTCATCGACCTGATTGATAATCTCCTGGTTGACGATGGCTTCGAACTTTCGCGCGAAAAAATCCGGGTTATTCTTTGTCGCCTGTCGTCACCATAATCATCATCATCATTTTCATGATCATCATCATCACTACTACCATTTCACCTTTATAATCATCACCATCATCATCAACATCACCATCACCTTTATAATCATCATCATCATCATCATCATCATCATCACTACTACCATTTCATCATCATCAACATCATCATCACCATTATCATCATCATCATCATCAAGTGACCTTCAGTCTTTCAAGGTCGTCCATGGTGAAGTCATTGGGCGAGCAGCCACACCAATCGACTATGTGCTTGTACTGGCAGTTGCAACCTGAATGGTGACGAAGAAGAAGAAGATGACGACGACGAAGATGATGACGTCACTGATGACGATAATGTTGATGATGACCATGTTACGCAATTATCATTAACCCTGATGATGACAATGATAACGATCAAGGTGATCATCATGTCCATAGTATATTAACGTAAAAGACGACAACGATGAAAATGTTGATGATGATGACGTAGATGATGACGTCACAGATGGCGTAATAATAACCCTGCTTCCTTTTCCAGTTGGTACTATGTAGGTTATTGTTGATCATTGTGTGGCAGAAGCGGCTGTTTTGTAACATCGTGTGGAAGAATGACTGAAAAATGATGATGATCACGATGATTATTGTGATGATGATGATTGTGATTGTGATGATTGTGATGATGATGATTGTGATGATGATACTTGGGTCAATGATGATGACGATGATGGCATCGTCAGGTGAGGTATTATTACCTCAGCTGGCAGCAGCGCATACTTCCAGTACAGCTTGACCCCATTCAACAGCTGATCCGACCCATATGTTAAGTAGGTCACGAAGGATCTGTGCAGACCAATCCAATCGCTTCCCCCGTCCACGTTGACTCCGCCCATCAGCCTCCTCTCGCCCAATCGCCACATCCGATGCTCGCACTCTAAAAATAGCATCTCCAGACCCTGGCGCTGGATGAATCTGGTGGTGGTGGTGGTGGGGGGGTTGGGCTGAGGTCGTCGCGACAGTAGCAACCACAACGACCCCAACGGCGACGACAACAGCAACGATAATAATAACAGCAATAATAATAACAACAAAAAGAGCCGACCTAGCAGTATTTCTCCCGTGGGACTTCAAAAAGTTCATTCCCTCGTTCAGAGTCAGGAAGGCCTCCAGTTGCTCGATCGGCCTGGAAATTGTAATTATAAATATCCATGAATAATTATCATATTATAATTAAATGTAATTATAACTAATTATAACAGATCCGGTGGTATCAAATGTATCACTAATTTAAGAAGTGATAGTACAAGACGATCCACGCTCGCAGATTGAAAGTCATTGAAACAATGACAAATAAACTAGCTACATTAAAATTTTGAAAATTTAAAAAAATGTCGATCACTTACTTAATGGGATAATCTGACTCGCTGAGGTTAATGAAGTAACTCCAAGGCCAGGTTTTGAATGTCAAAGCCTCTTTCATTGTCGAAAGCAGCATCTCCAAGAGGCTTGAGCCACCCCAAATTGTCGCGAATCTTTTCTCCGCCATTTCCACGTTGTGTAATTTCGCGGAGAGGTTTGTCAGCATTTTGTGTAGGTAGTTTTGTCTCTGCGTGTGTTTGTTCATATGTAAGTGTGTTTGTCTGTTTGTTTGTGTTTGTGTGTGTTTGTGTGTTTCTGCAAGTTTGTATGCGTGTGTTTGTGTGTGCTTCTGAAACAATACATTATGCAATAGATCCATCCCTCAGCTGTCATCAATATAATCTTCATCTTCTTCACCATCAATATCAGCATCATACTCATCTTCTTCCTCGCCATCACCATCATCAATCTCATCACCATCACCCTCATCACCTTATCAACGTGTATGAGGTAGTAGTGGTGCGGACGATAGATGGACCTCAGAAGTCGGACCACCTGCCTGAAAGCTCGGCCAGTCAGCGAGAGTAAAAATAATATTTTGACCTTGCCGTCGTCTGATTCGCTGCTGTTGCCGGCGATGACGTCATTGTTGTTGCCGTTCGTGAAACCGTTGTTGTCGCTGCTAGCGGTGGCCTCCTTATTGAACACTTTTGCTGCAAAAATATTAAGAATAATAATAACAACCAATAATAATAATAACAACAACAACAAAAACAACAACAACAATGATAATAATAATAAAATCATTATTTTACTCACCGAAACCAGTTTTGAAAACTTCAATTGTTAGATAACCACCACAAGTAGTGATGTTATTATTATTATTATTATTATTGTTATTATTATTATTGTTGTTGTTATTATTGTTGTTGTTGTTGTTATTATTGTTGTTGTTGTTATTGTAAACCCTTTTGTGCCACTTAGCTCTTTTACTTTTCGCGCCATTCGTAACGTTCCAACTCGTCGTCAGTCCAGTGACATCATCACGTGTTGTTTTCATGTTGTTGTTGCTGTTGTTGTTGTTGATGATGCTGATGTTGTTGTAGCTGGGACAGGGTCGATCGCATAGGCGTTGGTGCGTTTTTGCGGCCGATGTAGCGTTGAAAAACACGCTGCAGTGACATTCGACGCCGTATTCGACACCGGCATATGAAAAACCTTTGAAAAATATTTTCAAATGTGTGTATGCGTGTGTGTGCGCGCGTGTGTGTTGTGTGTGCGCGTGTGTTGTGCGTGCGTGTGTGTGGGAGAGAGAGAGTGAGTGAGTGAGAGAGAGAGAGAGAGAGAGAGAGAGAAAGAAAGAGAGAGAAAGGGAGAGAAAGAGAGAGTACAGTTTTATCATGAAAGTTACATGAG